GTGAGTTTATTAATTGTGGTAAAAAAAGCCATTGTGCTACGCGGAATCATTGCATTTTCCATCAGTGTGCATAACTGTGTAGCCAAAAATGTTGAATTATTATTTTTTTAGTTCACCTACATCCGCGGTGGGAGGGGATTTAATAATGCATTAGTAGGTGTTTAAAGAGAAAAACTATTTTTATGGAACTGGACTCACCATTTTATAATCGTCAATTTTGCTGATAGAACGGAGATAGAAGTTCACGGTTACAACCGTCGGTTCTACTCGGTCGGAAAACAAGAAAGAAGTTCTTTTTAGTGAAAAGAAGTTTGTTATTTTTTAGTTGTGGGAGGAGCATATACGTTAGTCTAACAATGTTGGCTCCTTTACAGATGATACTTTTAGGAATAATCATAGCAGTCATCATTTACTCTCACACGTCGTGCTTAGGACATTTACGTGGAAGGTGAAAACGACACGACATACCATTCAAGTAAACATACATTCTAGTACCAAAATATGATAAACAAACACAAGATCTTCTACAACAAAAACAGCAATCAACCAGGATCAAGGCGCATACAATGGCAATGTCGTCGCATTCGCGAATGGTTCTCAGTAGGCTCAGTGCTGTAACTAAATGTTAGTAAAAAAAAGTTGGAAAACTCCTGCCGTCGCGACTATTCAGATTTATTGAGGCAGATTGTCTGACAACTTCATTTCTTTTGCTCTTTATCGGTGTCCATTTGTTTTGGGGATGTGAAAATTACGACTTCTTCAAGCTGTGCGAGAGCAACCAATTCTTTTACCTACATTTTTCCTAGCCTTTTCTAAAGGTGAAAATTGAATAGTTCCAAAAATGCTTCAAAAAGACAATTCAAACACCCTCTCACCTATTACGTCGCCTGTCAGCCCTAAATTTCTTCCAGACTGTGTGATTTGCATGGATGTCGGTGCTTTTATACAAAGATAAAATACACCGAAGCAAGAAACAGGTGCAACGTTACAAACATGCTTATAAATTCGGCTACATTTTGCGTTCTGTTTCATAATAAATAGAAAAAGAACACA